CTTTTGGGAACACACTATGTTCTCATCATTGTCAAACTTCAAAGTGTCATCCTCTCATCAACCTCCATTTTTTACTAATCCTTCTATTGAGCTATTTCCTAGTGATTCTAATGCAGGTACATCTGATGAGCTCTACAATGCCTCACCACATGTTCCAACCAGTTCTGTAGAAGATAATCTGCCTGCTGGTAATGCATTAGATAATTTTGAGCCTTCTTCTACTTTCTCGTCTACAAATGAGCTTGTTGTCCCATCCTCGAGTCATCCTACTCGGGTAAGAAAGCCTCCAAACTACCTTCGTGATTATCATTGTTTTCCTGCTATTACTTCGTTACATGAGCCTCAATCCTATCAAGAGGGCTCTTTTAACCCTCTTTGGCAACAAGCTATGCAAGATGAATTACAAACTCTTGAAAACACTCGTACATGGCATTTAGTTGATCTCTCTACTGCAAAATCTCTAATAGGCTGTAAATGGGTGTACAAGATCAAAACGCGATCTAATGGTTCTGTGGAGCGTTATAAGGCACGCTTGGTTGCCAAGGGTTTTACACAGGAGTATGGAATCGACTATGAAGAGACATTTGCTCTAGTTGCTCGTCTTACATCTGTGCGCAGTTTGCTTGCTATGGTTGCTATACGGAGATGGAAATTGTTTCAGATGGATGTGAAAAATGCTTTTCTTAATGGTGACTTAGAAGAAGAAGTTTATATGAAACCACCTCCTGGGCTCCACCATCCTCCAAACAAGGTATGTCGATTGCGCCGAGCATTATACGAGTTGAAGCAATCCCTTCGAGCCTAGTATGCAAAGTTTAGTGCTACTGTGAGTGAGTTTGGTTTTACTTCCAGTCCACATGATACAGCTCTGTTCATTTGTAAGACTGCTCAGGGTATGGTTCTTTTACTTCTTTATGTTGATGACATGATTATTATTGGAGATGATGTCACAGGTGTTGAGGAGTTAAAACAATCTCTCAGTCAGAAATTTGAGATGAAAGATCTTGGTGTTCTGAGCTATTTTTTGGGGCTTGAAGTGACCTCTTCAGATGATGGCTAC